GGCTTGAGTTACTGAAGGATTATGACATCACCATTCTTTATCATCCGGGCAAGGCAAATGTGGTCACGGATGCCTTAAGCAGGAAAGTAGAGAGTATGGGTAGCTTGGCATTCATTTCAGTAGAGGAGAGGCCGCTAGCCTTGGACATTCAGTCCTTGGCTAACAGACTTCTGAGGTTGGATATTTCAGAGCCCAGCCGAGTCCTTGCGTGTTTGTTGCTCAGTCTTCATTATTGGGGGAGATCAAGGCCCGACAGTTCGATGATCCGCATCTGGCAGTTCTTAGAGAAACAGTGCTACGGGGTAGTGCCAAGGAGGTTTCTATTGGCAAGGATGGTGTCCTGCGACTCAAGGGTCGCCTACGTGTTCCTAATGTTGATGGCTTGAGGGAGAGGATTCTACAAGAGGCACATAGTTCACGGTATTCTATTCACCCAGGTGCTACGAAGATGTATCGTGACTTGAGACAGCATTATTGGTGGCGGAGGATGAAGAAAGACATTGTTGAGTATGTGGCTAGATGCTTGAATTGCCAGCAGGTTAAGTATGAACATCAAAGGCCAGGTGGCCTACTTCAGTAGATGCCTATCCCTGAGTGGAAGTGGGAGCGCATTACTATGGACTTCGTAGTCGGGTTGCCGCGGACATTGCAAAATGTTGATGTACACACTTTATTCCGATTGTGACTACGTACTCAAAGAGGTTGGCTCAGATTCACATTCGAGAGATAGTCCGGTTGCACGGTGTGCCTGTTTCCATCATATCAGATAGAGGCCCTCAGTTCACTTCCCATTTCGGGAGAGCCGTTCAGAGTGAGTTGGGGACCCGCGTGGAGCTTAGCACAACATTCCATCCTCAGACCGACGGGAGTCAGAGCGGACAGTTCAGATTTTGGAGGACATGCTCAGAGCATGTGTGATTGACTTTGGAGGACAGTGGGACCAGTTCTTGCCCTTGGCAGAGTTTGCTTATAACAACAGCTATCAGTCCAGCATAAAGATGGCTCCATTTGAGACTCTTATGGTGGACGATGCCGTTCTCCTATCGGGTGGTTTGAGCCCGGTGAGGCTAAGTTGTACGGTACAGATTTGGTGAGAGATGCCTTGGAAAAGGTAAAGTTGATTCAGGAAAGGCTTCGCACAGCACAGTACAGACAGAAAAGTTACATGGACCAGAAGGCGCACAATGTATCATTCATGGTCGGTGAAAAGGTTCTCTTGAAAGTCTCGCCGATGAAGGGTGTCATGAGATTCGGGAAGAAGGACAAGTTGAGCCCAAGATTTATTGGCCCATTTGAGGTGTTGAAGCGAGTTGGGGAGGTGGCATATGAGCTTGCTTTACCTCCCAGCTTATTGGGAGTCCATCCAGTTTTTTATGTGTCTACGCTTCGGAGGTACCACGCTGACTGGTCTCATGTGTTAGACTTCAGCACTATTCAGCTAGACGAGAGATTGAGCTACGAGGAGGAGCCAGTTGCCATTATTGAAAGGCAGGAGCGCCAGTTGAGATCCAAGAGGGTTTCTGCAGTAAATGTCCAGTAGAGGGGCCAACCAGTCGAGGAGGTGACCTGGGAGTCCGAGGAGGACATGCGGAGCAGATATCCACACTTATTCGGCACTTCAGGTATGAATCAAAACCCGTTCGAGGACGAACGTTTGTTTAAGAGGTAGAGGATGTAACGACCCGACTGGTCGTTTCGCTTTTTAGAACCCCGTTACCCTAAATAAGACTTCTCGCGCTTGCTTTAACTAATTTACTACCTGCGGGGATGATTGGTTCGGGATCTGGAAGAGTTTAGGTTGAAATAGGCACACTTGATTCCCTAAGATTTCTTTAAAAGGCTAAGTTTGACTTTGGTCAACATTTTTAGTAAACGGACCCGGACTGGCATTTTGACGACCCTGAGGGTCCGTAGGAAAATATGGGATCTGGGCGTATGCCCGGAATGGAATTCTGAGGTCTCTAGCCTGAGTAATGAATTTTTGTTAAAAATTGTTAAACTGGAATTTCCAAGGATTTAAAGAATTTAATAATGTTTGATCATGATGGTATCGGGCCCGTATGTTGGTTCCGGAATCCGGTAGAGGTCCAATATAATATTTAAGTCTTATCTGTGAAGTTTGGTGAGAAATGGGACTGATTTGAGGTGATTCGGACGTCTGGTTGTAAAAATAGGAATTTGAGTGTTCTTAAGGATTTCATGCGTTTTGGAGTTGAATTCATAGTTTTAGTTGTTATTTCGGCGATTTGATCACTCGAGCAAGTTTGTACAAGGTTGTTGGACTTGTGTGGGTGTTTGGAGTGGAGCCCCGAGGACTCAGGTGAGTTTCGGGCATGGGTTGGGGGGTGAAAAACACTCCAGTTTTCTGGTGTTTCTATGAGAAGTTATAGGTCTCGCAAATGCCAGGAATTGTTTGCAATTGCGGACCTCGCATTTGCGAGGAAACCATCGCAATTGCGATGAAGGCAGGCGGTGGGCAGACGTCGCATTTGCGACAATTCCTTCGCAATTGCGAACCCTGCAGGGTCCGCATTTGCGACCCCAGGATCACATTTACGATCAAAGCAAGAGGGGGGCCAGTTCCCAATTGCGAAGCTTTTGTCGCAATTGCAAGTTCGCATTTTTGAACCTGATGTCGCAAATGCGACATCAGAGGCCTGGACACAGCTTTTAAAAACGGGACTTAGGCCATTTATTTCATTTTATCTTTTCACTTGGGCGATTTGGGAGCTTTCAAAGAGGGGATTTCAACATAGCATTGTGAGGTAAGTTATTTCTTCTTAATGTTAGTTTAATACTTGGGTTTTAGGTAGATTAACACACACAAAATTGTTGAAAAATTATGGGATTAGAGCAAAACCTAGGGTTTTGATAAAACTTAGATTTTACCACGAAATTTGTTATGGAATGAAGTAGAAATCATATATTATTGATCTTTAGGTTATAGAGAACAACTTTCTTCGAAAAATTTCAGAATCCGAACACGAGGGCCCAGGGTCGGATTTAGGAAACTTATGATTAAGGTTGGGAAATTACTTTAGTAATTAAAATGCGAACTCTTGAGCTTGTATTGACTAGTTCCTACCTCGTTTAATTAGTTTTGGATCATTCGGCTCCAAGTTGAGGGTTTGAGCACGTTCTTGATATTGGAAGTACGCTTTGGAGCGAGGTGAGTCTCCTTTCTAACCTTGTAAGAGGGAATTGTCCCCATATGTGTAATAAATGAATAATTTGCCACTAAATCTGGGGGCTACGTACGCACTAGGTGACGATAGTCCGTGCGTAGCCACTATTATGCTTAAGTCCGGGTAGTCTAGGACCCAAAAGCATGCTTCATGTGATATTCTTGTGACTTTATGGTTAATTTGGATTGCTTAAACCATGTTGAATGTGGTAAATAAAATTAATACGAGAAACATCACTTTCTTAATCTTTTAAAGAGGAGTTGACAAATCTGTGGGTAATTGCTCCCCTGATATATTCTTGTCTGCCTGTTTGTTGTGCTTAATTATATTTGACCGCGTTGCATGTATGATTCGCGAGTGGGGTAATAGATGCATCTATGGTTCGCTCCGTTCGACCCTCCGGCAGTGCACACTTTACTTTCATGTTGGATCGGGCTGTACGACCTCGGCATTACTTGGGTATGCTTCTTGCTCGGTATATTGTTGTGGACTGAACTTGTTTATTTGCCCTAAAATGTAAATGGCTAACTGTGGTATTATCTAGGAAAGGACCTGTTACTTCTTGCTATAAGTTGTTAATTATTTGTGCTATCCATGCTTAGTATAACGCTTTTTCTCATAATATTTGACCCTAGTAAGTGTCAAGTCGACCTCTCGTCCCTACTTCTTCGAGATTAGACAGGATACTTACTGGGTACATATTGTTTATGTACTCATACTACACTTCTATACTTAATTGTACAGGATCTGAGGTAGGTACATCTGGTTACCAGGCTGGTGCATACTCTTGATCCGGCCCGAGATTCCACGGTGAGCTGCTCCCTTCCTACGCCGTTCAGCAGCTCGATGGAGTCTTTATTTACTTTTGGCTATCTATTCTATTTCAGACAGTATGATAGATTTATTATTTTGTATATTCTACTAGATGCCCACATACTTGTGACACCAGGTCTTGGCACACACATTAGTAGACTATTTTGTGTTGGGATTGTATAACTATCATGGTACGATGTTAATTATCCTTTGTTTTAAATTCAAACTTAGAGATTCTGGTAACTGTTTTGCAAAAAGTAAAACTGGAACTTATTAACATTTCCGCGTTGGCTTGCCTGACAACGGTGTTGGATGCCATCACGCCCTGAGGTGAAATTGGGTCGTGACAATCCAACTATGTATTGCTAAATACTAAAACTAGGTATATCACAAATGTGGTTACAAACTATTGTATTTCAAATGTGCAGATATTACCAATGCCGAAAGACCTAATAGAAGAGAGCAGTATATCAATGTTAAGAACATCTTTATTAGATATTCTTCCATTGTATAATACAGCTACATCGCAATATCAGAACTTATTCAAAACATCTTATATTGGAACTAATTGGATCATTGCTACAGTAAGTTGTGATTTATAGCTATTTATCTTTTACTAATCTTGAATATTTGTAGAATGTAATGAAGTAATTCTATCATCTATTTAAGATCTGAACTTATCGTCCCCACCGTCATTCCCTTTCATTCTTCTCTAGATCATTTAGATTAAGAGATAATCAAGTCCAGGCGGCAATTGTGCTTTCATGCTTTGATTGCGTTTTGTTGACATGTGTGTTTTGCGTCTTTTTTATAAAGCTTGAGGTTAATTTGGTCATTTCAGATCATCTCTCACTGATATTATATACGTGGTTTTCATTTATTTATACAGAGCTCCACGTGTAACCATTAAACAACACCAGATGTATTTTAACAAGATATTATGTTAGGTCTTTCATTATTTTATTTGTATGTTGTTTAAGACTTCTTGTTCAGTTTACATGTCTCTGTTTGTCTTCGTCCTCTCAAACTACAGGTATGTTTCACTTTCAATATGATTTCTTCTCTGTATTTCATCTACTGCTCATACCCACAATTTTGCTTCATCATCCGAAATTTTTTATTTTCTTTAGAAGCTTTTGTTAGGAATCAATAGTCAAGACCTTAGGGAATATCTGTTTTCTTCGAAACTAATAACATTTATAGAAATTCGTGCAAATTAAGATATCTTTATACAGGAAAAAACCAACAAAATTCACACTCTGGGAAGATTTCATCGATCATGATGGGAACAAACTACTCAAACAGCTTAAAGAATACCCAATCATCCTTGCTAGAAAAGTTGGTAGACCAAAGTCGTTGTCCGGTAAAACAACTCAAATGCATGCAAGATGGACTAACAAATTCAGTACAGGTAAAGTATATACGCAATTATATTTTACTTTTCCATATACCACGCGACCAAATTAGAACTGAATGTTCAAATGCATGCAAGATTGACTAACAGATTCAGTACAACAATCGAAATCAACCCTCCATACCGGCAAGCAAATGCGTTGAGAACATGGTATTGCATATTTGCTTGTCTATAAATATATTTTTGGTTATGCAATCCTTTAACATATACAAAAACTAATTTTGAAATGTCAACATACTTGAAGGGCCCAGCAAAATGAGCATATGCTTATTGCGTACACAGTAAAGAGCACAAGTCCATCAGGCTCTCTTTTTTTGTTCCTTTCGAAGAAGAGATAGTGCCAATTGCAAAAATTCAACGGCAAGATCCAGTAAGTACGCTAAATATTCATATATATACTGTTACAAATTTTTATCTTCATTCTCTAATTAAAAAAAATAAATGTGTGGCATGCTTGCATTTTCTAAGGCGAAATATTCTACATACAAGCTAAAGTCGCACTACAAAATAAGAACCAACGATTCTGTATCCTAGCTTGTTCATACTGCAAACAACACTTCGCATGAGCTATTTTACGGAGAAAATTCTACTGCACTAATTGCCGTCAATCTACCCAGTTGGTTCCCAGGTATACATGCAACAACATTCTTCCACATAACTGTTTATATTTAATATTATATATCCACTATCATTTTAACTAAGCAATCATTTTATCTCACAACTAGGTGCCAATTTGAAGTGACGCTCACAGACCAGAGCGGTTCTACAACAGCGACTGTTGCCGATAAGCATGCAGAAAAAATATTGCTTCTCACTTCGGAAGAGATTTATGATATCTTTAATGTCAAGGTACATTGTTAACTTCAAAAATTACAAACAAGTATGTTCTGCAGCTTGAGTCTCCTCTCACACATAAATAACCAATTTTGTCTTTTCAGAACGGATTGCCGCCTCTTGTGAACGCGCAAAAGCTACTGATTGGCAAGATCTTCAAGATTCAAATAAAAAAGATGTTTACAAGAAACAGTGAGGCAGTGCCAAGAAAGTTAGTTATTTTGTCTTTCGTGGACAAAACTAATTTGACCGTCTCACAAATGCCAGCCACCATCAAGGATGTTGGGGAAGGAAGTAAACGGAAAATTGAACATGTTGCCACAGAGAAACAAGAGCAGCCACAGACAACAACCAAAGGCAATGGTTCCTACAACAAATATAAGGCGGAAATGAAAATTTCCCCTCCGAAAAACTGCTGAGAGGTATTTGAAATTTCCGTTCCTTCTAAATTTAATATGAAATTCAACTTTGTAGAAAAAACAAACAACTTAAACGACTATCATTTGTTAGCACTTTGGCCAGTGAAACACTTTTTGCTACTATTTTGGGATGCAAGTGAAGCCAAATCTTGGTGTTGTTTTTGAATGCAGTTAAACTCACTTTTGCAACTGCTTTCTGGATGTTCTTCTATTCGGAATACGTCGCTCGCGACATGAGGTTAGTATACTTAATTACAAATCCGAATTTTCTCTCATGTATGTGTTATCTTTTTGGATAAAATTTATTGTACAAATTATTCTAACATCTTTATTGGTATTGCTCTTTTCGAATGCAGTTAAACCCACTTTTGCCCCTGCTTTCTGGATAATCTTATACTTGGAATATGTCACAGCGACACGAGGTCAGTATACTTGATTACAAATCTAAACTTTCTTTTTCCCATACCATTTTGACAGAAAGATTTAAGTAGCTCCAATTTCTTATTAACCTTCTTGCTCTTTCTCGGTCCTTTTTACTTTTTTTAAACTTAAGTAAATATTTATTTTGCTATACTTTTTGTCATAGTGAAATATTGAAACTATACTATAATCAACAGATATATCTCATTTCTTTTCATGAAATTTCATCTGCCTTTTATTCTGCTCTGTGAATATCTATACTTCTGTTAATATCAATACTTCTACTGACTTCCGTATCTTCTCCTTTGCTTCTCGATTTCTCTCAATGGTTTTCTTTTTTGTCAATATCAATACTTCGCGTGAAACTCACTCCATCACTGTACCGACTATCTTTTATTTACTTTGCTCCCTATTTCCTCAGTAGCATAAGAGAAGAAGTTGCAAATAGATCACATCTTGAAACGATCAACCTTATATGGGTTGGTAAATTGTTCAAAGATGGTGATGGGACTGAGAAGTAATTAAACCAATTGGTTATCAAATGAAAAAACCAAAAATATTCAATTCACAAATCCGTAGTCTTTTTGAAACATGGGCCCTGAAGCTGATTTATGTTTCATCCTTAAAGATTATCATCAGCTTTACAAATTGCTCTTGTAGGCACATGCTGCCCAGGTATCTTGAAGACGTTTGAGCTAATCACATTTTCTACTTTTCCTACTCTTAGTATTTAATTACTTTCTCTGGATATTACTAATCTCAGTAAACTTCAGTATGCATTTCTGGGAAAATAACTTAAAAGTCTTGGATATTGGTGTCATCTGAGCATATGTAGTCATCTGTATATACATGGCTTAGTCCTGCCTAGCAAAATTATATATACCTTTAGCCTTCAGGCGACTTTTCTGTATAGGGACATGTAAAAGTGATTTTTAAAGTCTACAATGAGGAGCAGCATAGGAGCTTCCAGCAATATGGGACTGATATATATGTGGCATTCCAAATCTATGTCGGATAATCTTTGTGTTCCTTTGTGTGTTTGTATGAGTGTTTTGAATCTCCTTTTGTATTTTTTCCCTTTTGCAAATTTGTCAAGTTTGAATTCGGTTGTGAACTAACCATTTTATACTTGAAGAACTCAATTCGCATTTAAAATATTTCATATCAGGAAAGATGTGGTTAGGTGATGATACAAGCAAAATCTTAAACTTGTATATTAGACAACTTTCTACTCATGTACAACAGGTAGTCTGATCTTCACTTCCTATATTGATGATCTTCCTGCAACATGTTTGCCTAGGCAGAATGTAATTTTTTCTAACCATTGTTTGATTTAATGAACATCTTAAGATATTGTTCATTTCTCTTCAGATTGTGCATACTGTGTAGTGCAATCAGAGATAACCAATTTTTAATTAGTTTTAGTTTTCTGCTTTCTTTTCTTTGTTTAATCTCTCTGTCAATAGAAACTTATAAAAACATCACCACAGATCTGCAATGCGTATAGAAAGAAATTAGGGTAATCAAGAACTGATGAAGAAACAATAATGGATGAAGGAAGACAACAAGAACAGAGAACTGGGCAATCTATGTTTGGAATGTATTAGATTCTTCAACGTATTTTGATCACTAAGCTTCTGTCTATGCAATTATTGTTAAAGCAGGTTTTGTTTTGATGTGATTAAAGCAAACAGGTGCCGGTTTCTTTTGCTTTTGTGGCCATGCTTAAATCACTACTGATTTAAATTGATCTTTGCTCGCATGAATTGAAATGTTTAAACTTCAAAGTTTACCGTTACTGCTTTTTTATTTAAGTTATTTTACAACAACAACAACAACCCAGTATAATCCCATTTAGTGGGGTCTGAGGAGGGTAGTGTGTACGCAGACATTACCCCTACCTTGGGATAGAGAGGTTGTTTCCAAATAGACCCCCGGCATCCTTCCCTCCAAGAACTTCCCACCTTGCTCTTGGGGAGACTCGAACTCACAACCTCTCTGTTGGAGTTATTTTCTGTTTCATATATACTCTAACTTTCACTAATTACCATACAAGTTTATTTGTTTGCAGATATCATTGTCCAAGAACTACTAGAAAAAGAATCAGAAAGAAGACCAAAGACCGCATATGTAAATAGTGGTATCATACATGTTGTAAACGTTGTGGCACTTTAAGTATCCCTTAATGTGATGCTCCCATGGAGGCAAACAATGTATGTTTTGATCAAAATGTATATAAATTATGGGTGTATCAATTTGCATGAAATATTGTCTACTCGATACTTGCAATCTACAATTAGATATTATCCAAAGTTAAATAATATTGGGCCCGTGCTGAGACAGGCTGCATCAACCTAGTATTATATTATAGATAGATAGAAGAATGAGTTTGGTTTCTAATTTGATCAGATGGACAGAAATCTTATTTTGGTTTGAGGAAATCAAGGTCTGGTACACGTGCGAAACACATATATCTAATACCATTTTTTTTGTTTCATTTTATGTGGTTTATTATAAAAAGACTAATATATTAATAAGAAAATTTGATTTGAACCTTTTATTTTATTAAATACACATTGTTTAAACCATTTTATATATTAGTAAAATCTTTATTTCTTCTTTAAATTTTGTGTACGGTCCACCAAATACCGTATTAAAAATAAATAGAAGAAGCAAATTCTCTACAGATCTACTCAGATGGAAGGTTATAATTAATAAGTTCTCTACATTTTTACTCCCGTTGAAGTAACTACTTTTTCTATAAATAAAAAAATGCAATTATAACTATGCCATTTATATGACATGAGGCTATTATATGGCATTGAGTGTTTATTCATTTTTAATCTCATAAATTACTCCCCAAAAATCTTGTTTTCCATTCAAATCCATTGAAGCAGTTAGAGAAAATAGCCCACATTGTACTTCGGCTTTTTAAGGTATTTAATTTATATATTATTAAAAGGAGAGGATAAAGCCCTCTCCTTAAGTTAAGTTGCAGCCTAAAAAAAAATTACATGGCATAATTAGTTACTAATTAGTTATTTAGTTAATAATTAGTTATTATTTTTGAATTTAAATATATATCAAAAACGAAAATAAAAAAAAACTACCATCTACATATATATA